ACGGTTGATGATATAATTCCTGCATGACCTTAAGAACCCTAAACTATGGGAGCTATGGTACATTCCTTATTCTGGGTAATGCAGGATTTATATCATGAACCGTACTACCCACCTGGTAGAGTGATTCATCCTCTAAGGCTTGTGGCAACGGCGTTGTTAAGATCGCAGGTGGAGGATACACAAGTTCTCCCACAAAGCCCAACAAGATGGAGAGCCGAGGTGTACTGGGCTATTACGACTACCACAACAACAACAACAACAACAGCAACAACAACAACAACAACAGCTACTACTACTACTACTACTACTACTACTACTACTTCAATATAATCGTTGTAAAATGAGAACAAAATAATACATACATGTATACAAAGAACTTTATATATCTAAAAATATTAATCACAATATATATATATATATATATATAATTTATTGCGGAACATGACTCGGCTTGGCGAACTCATGGGAGCGCAGATAGAAAGGACGAAGTCTCTCAATCCAGAAGAGCAATGAAACTGCGGCTTTAGTAAACATATGTATTTGGGATCTAGGTCTAGCTCGTGAGGGGTCAGGGCTCTCTCTCAAAAGGAAGTCTCCATTGTGGAAATAATCTGGATGCCTCTTCCAGAAATCTGAGCCAGCAACGTCGGTCTCAAGCGTCCAGACACTCAATGGGGCCTGCTCACAGATGACTGTTTGCTTGGCTTGAACATCGAGGTGTCGAACCCAAGTAGGGATGCACACCGCAACCTGAAATCCTACATCGCCAGCGGGCAACGGGTCGCCTGAAAATGAAGTGCCCTTCCTCTGCGCCGCAAAGATCTCGTCGACCTCAGTAAAATACGAATCAGCGATGCCAAAAACTGCAAGAACTCTCTTGCAAGAATGGTGTTTGGTGCATTTGCCGATGCTTGCACCAAGATGTACCAAGTAGGTTCGATCACCCTGACCTATATCCGGCTCTAAGCCCGAACAAAAGCTCTATAACCCCGAATCCTAAACCCGAAACAAACCCTAAAGCATTTCTTGCCACTGGACTTGAGGACTAGCCAGATCTGTTCCCTAAACCCTAAATCCCGAACCCTAAACTTAGCCTGACATCTTCGAAGGGCATCAGTCGGCGAAGCAGGCCATTTTCTGTAATTACCGATATCATGTCGTGGGCGCACGCTCCTCTGACATTCCGGGAGCCGGGGCACGCCGGAGTCCACTGGAGAAAACGTTGTAAAGTTCTACTACGACCAGGAAGTGATAAGAGTCACCAGCTCACCCTGCAAGTTGAACACAGTGCAGCACTCGGACTCCGACCCCAACCCCCCAGAGGTTGTGAGAACTTTTCGGCGCGAGGTCGGCCGAGCCATCTACTGTACGGTGGCGCAAGCCTAGAGGCCTAGAGTTTGGAACGTTTATCATTCAAACTAAGCCGATGAAGGTAGCAGTAAGTTATGAGGGCACAGGGGGATATAAAAGCACAATTAGCTATCACACTGGAAATGCTCCGTGCTCTGTAGAGTAGTGGTGACGTGGCGGAGGGGTTGTCCGCTTGGGGTGATCCACAAGAAATCGGCAATGCTGTTCAGGTTTGCGCAGCTCAACAGCTGAATATGTCTGCACTTCTCCCTACCTGAACACTTCAGACTTCAGATTCCATGAACCTACCTATAGTCTCCATTGTGGCTCCTTTTTGGGGTTACCCTATAGGATCCCAAATATGTAATTGGTTAAACCAAAAAAAAGAACTACAATGGAGACTATAGGTATCAAGATCTGGTCATCTCTCACTTTGGGACTGTCGGTCGACAGCCTCTCAGACGATCGGGGCGGTCTGCTCCTGCGTCTTAGCAGCGTCTATGCACTCCTATACCCGCGGATCATGTTGGGATATGGAGAACCTACTACATAGGGCCTTAGGGGCTCCAGTACCCTATATAGTAGGTACTTGCAGGTTAGGGATTTCGAAATACAGGTACTCACCTATTATGTTAGGAATTTCCCCCAAACCAACCTCGACGACACCAAGTCAGCCTGAGAAAGACTTCTCTTGCCTAGGTGCTTAGACACATGCGTGGCCAAAGCGCAGTTGAACAGAACCTCCAGCTCAAACGCGACAAAAATAGTAAAATCCTACAGCGGCATAAACTCCAAGGTCCAACGCAACTCTGTAATCCTGAGCCAGGCCATTCCCCCTAAACCCTATAAACCCCAAAACCTCCGAGATGCCCCATCTGCAGCCAGGTCTCTGAACCCTCCTCCTCCGCCACCTTTCCCTTGGCATTCGCGGGCACGGCATGTAGGCCAGCATGGAGCAGAACCTCGGCTGAATTCTTACGGTTTTGGGGTTTTCGACTCGCACACTCGCTCTTGGCAGGCACGGAAGCTGGCAAAGAGTCTTAGCTTGGTCTAGGGTTTCTGATTCCGGCCTCTAGAACTCGAATTGGAAGCGTAGTCTGCAACATCCGTGCGCACATGCCGTGAGCTCAAGGCATGCTTGACCAGGCCTTAGTGTGGGCATGTATCTGTACCCTGGTTTAGTACTGCAACCCATATCAAATACGAACACGTGTCTAGAGTGACTAGATTCTAGATGGGATGGATTAGACACAGACATGCATGAACCTCGATCGGTAAACACATCCAATGTGTGTATGTGCATTTGTGTCTGTATTCGACCCATGTCTATATAAGTATGTTTGTATGCAAATATGTGTACGTAGAAGGTATGTATATGTATGTATGTATGT